TTTAAAAGACATTTACTTTTCATTTTTTTCCTGGCATTTAACAGAGGACAATTGTGCCACAATCCTACTTTACAAAACTACAAGGAAGGAACACTTAATTTAATGTTCATGTGGAATGTAATTACGTACTTTTCTTCCTTTACAATGTGTGCTTCAGAGACAGGATGACAAGCCAAGAAGCACATAATATGCTGTCTGTCATTAAAATAGGTACATGCTTTTAAAATTATTTCACACTGACACTTATTCAAAATATCCTTTATCTTCTTTTTTTGACTATTTTATGAACATTATAGTACCTCATCAAGTATTGCCTATTTTATGACAGATATAAATGGGAATTTATTGAATAAATGAATTTACCATGTACAATCATAGATATTATAGATTTTAGTATGTACAAAGTTTCATCTCTGCCCTATGACTCACAAAGTGCTCTCTCTGACAGGTTCAGGGTTGCTCTGAGTCAGGACTATAGAGTGATCCTATCTTCCCTCTTGCTCTAAAGAATATCATTTGACCTTTCATTCAGAGTTTCCACTGAATGAAATCTTTCTGGAATGTTGCAAGCAAACATTTTTGCTTTCTCCTTTCAAGCTGTGGGATATATAGGTTGTCTCTCAGAACTATAATAATAAAGTTAGGAATAGTGAAACAAATAAAAATCATAACTTAGATGCCAACCAGCGTTTCCATCGCGCTTCAATCCTGCTAAACTACATTTAGTGTTCATTCCTTTGCAGCAACTCCCGCAGAGCAGGTGTCATTATTTTCACATTATAAATGAGGAAGTGTGGTGAGAATTTGAACTCAGGGTTTAATTGCAAAAATGGAGTACTTCACACAGGTTTAACATTCAATTTGCCTTTGAATTGCGTGTGATTTTTTGGTGTCTTTATTCACATTGAGTGTTCCTTCTGGCAGTTACCAATATATAGCCACTTCTCTTTTCCTTTGTATCCCATCATGGTGTCTTGCATAGTAAGTACTTGATAATTTCTATTATACTTCCTATAGCCCAAAGGCAGCCCAGTTTCCATACTTAAGAGTTTTTTAAATTGGAACATACGTCAAATTGATGTTGTGATGTATATGGTAGCCTTTTCCTAAAAATCTGTTATTAGCCCTAGGTATCTCCTAATGAATCCAATCTTAAAATCAAGAAGTCATTGCAGAAACAAATGAGTAGAACTCAACCCAAACTGCTCAAAGTTTACAGACAATAAAAGTAGATTATTTAATGCTACCTGAGTTTTAATCCCAAGAGGAATTCAGAAGGAAATCCACTGGAACTGAAAGGAAAGGCAATTAGATGTAGTTTATTAGCAATAAAAGTAGTCTGGTCAGTGATTTCAAGGGGACATACAGGTGGCACCAAGATCTCAGAAGTGGGAAAAATGTTAAATGCTTTACACTGTTGGAGTCTCAACAATGAAGTAAGACAGAAACACAAGTGGTGAATGACCAGAAGGAACACTGGGTCCACCTGCCCTTAAGCTGAACTCTCTGTTTTCAGATGTCCTGGAAGCAAACCACAATAAGATACTGTCAAGCATCATGGAGACAAGGATATGGGTATGTGACTTACAGCTGTAGTTTAAAGGTGGTCCTGGGAGAGTTTGATGTGATGCCATGAAAGGAGATATTTAAGTATGAAATGTTGCTCAAAACCTCTGCATTTATGTATTATTCATATCTTGTTTTGACACTATGGGCTTTGGCACTATGAATTTGATACTATGGGCTTTGGCACAAAGACAGAGAACTGAAAGTAACTGTGTTAGGGAGAGAAGTTTAGGGTTAGCTTTGTATTTTTATAAATAGAAAAGATGAGAATGTTTTTATCCTGAGAAAAGAGTCAGCAGAGTCTGTGGTAAGAATCAGTCAGAGATGACTGAAGTAGAAAGCTCTCCAAAGTAGTGGGATTAAAGGAGGCTTAGGGCACAAGGGAGGTATCTGAAGGAAGGGTGCTTTTTCTAATGAGATGAAGCAAGAATTAAAAGTGGCAGAGATATGGATGCAGAATAGTGTGTGTTAGAGTCAGGAGAAAATCTGTAATGGCTCTAAGTTCTTTGCAAAGTAGGTAAGCATCACTAAGAATGGGAGAATAACAGGAGAAGCTTTGGGAGATTAGAGATTGCAATGACTATGCAGTGGACGGGAAGAGCTGCCTTGTGCTGAGGGCATAATTGATATTGCCTTAGAATAGTTGTGTCGCTTTAATAAAATTCCAGAGATTTAAAACTTAATAAATAGTAAAAATATCTGTCTCATAATTCTTGAGGCTAGGAAGCCCACCATCAAAGTGTCAGCAATTTTGGTGTCTAGTGAGCTGCTCTTAACGGCATCTGTTGCTGCATCTTCCAAAAGGATAAAACTGTGCATTCACATGATAGAGGCGCAGAGAAAAAGGGCCCAATCTAGCATCCTCTAGACTTTTTATGGGGCACTAATTCATTCATAAGAGACTTAATCACTTATCCAAAAAAGTTACAACACATGAATTTGGGAAAACAAACAATAGTAGAGACTATTTGTACTGGGAGTAGTCTGGCATATGTTAGGTGTTAGGTTTTTTTTTTTAAGCTTTCATGCCTATTTGAGGTAAGGAAAAAGAAGAAGAGGCAGATTTCTGTTATGGATTAAGAATTAGAAATTTGTTTAAAGAACATGGCTTACTGGAAGTTTTAGACCATTATCAGCTCCAGTTTGGGTGTGTGTCATAGTGTATCTTTTGTTTGGTTTAAAGCATTTCCAAAAGATCAGGTAATCCTATCCAAATGGAATTACACAAGTGTACTACAGAACCAAATATGATTTTTTTTCAAGCTTTTGTTTTCTATTCTAAATAATATATCAAAGAATTTCTAAACATTTCTCATATTCATAATGATCCCTTAGGAGAATTCACAGATTTGAAATTGAGTTGAAGAGCATTAATCATATTACTTTAAGTTTGAGATTAGTGTTCATTAACGATTTCTTTAAATTTTTATGAAGACATTTAGGATGTTAGTAAAATAGTATTTATGACCCATGAGAATAATTTTTCTTCATTACTCAAAATGTTGCTTAGTGCCGCTGCCTCCAAGTGTATTCTGGGACCAAATGACAGTTTCTCCCACCCTAAGGAAACACCAGAGTGAGGAAAATGCTTGGCAGGAGGATCTGGTTTGCATTTAATGTTAATCTTTCTACTTAATTATCTTGTGATCTTGTGCAAGTTGCAGCCACTGTAACCTATAATTTTCTTATCCATAAAATTATACTAAAAATACACTGTTAATCTCATCAAGATGTGCAGATGAAATAAAATAATATTGAAAATGGCTTGTAACACTGAGGCATTATATAAAATATTAATTGTTGGTATTTTTAAAAGCAATAGATGCTATCTATCCTCTTGAGGGCTCCTGAAAACACAATTCTCTCGATTCACAAAAACAAACTGTCTCAAGCAACCCAGATAATTCTTTTGGAATCATAAATGTTGTTGGGTAGTTCTTTTAGAAATGGCTTGCCAAACAAAAGTATTTCAGGTCCTAATTGGACAAGACAAGCCAAAAATTGTGCCAAAAGTTTATTTTAAAACCAGGGTTGAAGGGGTAAGGAGCTAGTATTGTATAGCAAACTTAGGCCAAACCGAGAGAAAAGGATAAAAACTAACAATAAAAGTTATATAAGCAGGGTAGACTATCCTGAAGAGTCATAATAATGAGCTCCTTGTGGTATTTTGTTTCTGTTATGTCATCTACATTGGGGGGGAGCTAGTGAAAAGCTCTACATGAGTTCCGAGAGTACTCTGGCCCCACCCTGGGATCTTGAAATGGGCAGGTCCCACCCATGTCTCCACTGCTGCACTAGGATCTTGTAATTGGCAGGTCCTGCTCATTGCCTCAGCTGGTTTTACCATGCCCTACCTTCTATATCAATAAAGGGATAGTGTGTGGAAAAAGTAAGGGGTGTGAAAGAAAAAAGTAAATAAATTGTACTGAGAATTTCTTTCTTTTTTTTTTATTTTCAAAGTCTAACTTTAATTCAGACTGAACAAGCAGAAAAGTGAGGAAGCTAACTGTATTAGCAGACACAGGTGTTCCAAATGTAAAACAGTGGGTTATTAACAGAACTATTTACATGCATATTTACAGGCAACTCTTTTATAAATGTCTTTTAGTTAGTTGAAAAACATTTGACATTAGGTAAAAATATTACTTGGATTGGGCTGAGGTGATAACACATTATAGTAAAAGTATTAGAAAAATGATCCTCGAGATGTATCAATTATAAAGCAGATGAAAACTTGAATGACAAATTATCCAGTAAAATTCTCTAGTAAAAAAGTCAATGCAATCCATGCTACAAAATAAAAATGAGAACATCATATAAATAAAACAGAAAAATGTTCTAGGCCTTAGGGTACTAAAGTTAGTCAAGTAAAACAAAAAAATAATTCTTGGGCTGGGGATTTAGCTCAGCAGCATAGGCGCCTGCCTTGCAAGCATGCAGTCGTGAGTTTGATCCCCGATACAAAAAAAAAAAAAAAAATCTTGAATTGGAATAAATCCTCAGTGAACAATCTTGGCTGTTTAGCTGGGACTTCTAAGTTTTTTCCTCCATTAATGATATTTTTACAAATATGTGTCAAATACAATCTACATGTGTTAAGTCAGCTGTTGATATATTCAAAGACTAGTGCTATGGATGTTTATGACTATGATCAATTTTGTTTTGAGACAAGGTCTCACTATATAGTTAAGGCTGACTCAAACTCACAATGATCCTCTTGTCTCATCTTCTCAAGTGTGTGCCATCACAACCAGCAATACTTGAAACTCAATTAATTGAGACATAAGTATCAAAATAAAAAAGCTTTAATATTTCTATCTAAAAAAAAGCTACATTTTTGAGTAATCTGTATTTCTAGGCTGAGTCTTTTTCACTCAAGAAAGAAAACTTAAAAGGATAAGCATCTAACCAGCTAGCAAAATTTACTTTCACCATTTCATTTATTTCAAAATCAATTTTATTGCAGCCAAAACAGTGGAATTAACTGTACATAATAAACTATTTTATATATATACACATTTTAAGTTATAGGGAATAAAGTTTATTTTTGGCAGATAGTGTTAAACAAAATTAAAGTTGCATACATTAGTAACATAACTCAACATACTTAATTTGGTATAAGTATGACACATGTTCTTGCTTTCTTGTGTTCTGCTAAATCATCATACCTAAACTTTTATAAAAACTGATACAGTGAAATTTAACTTTACTGTTTTCGCTTATGCTCTGATTCCAAACAAAACTTTTCATAAGCTTCTTCAATTTCTGGGTCCATCTCATCATCAATATCATCCAAGTATGGATCACCTGATAATCTGTTCCATTTTCTTCATAATCTGGAAAAAAGGCCTCTCTTTCAAGTAACTCTTGATACTTCTCTTGGTAATCTGGATCTGCTGCAGTGAAAGGAACACCATCAGATGTATAAAATGTTGGTTCATTCATAAAGTAGTTAGGATCATTTTCAGGTGTTGCTTCTCTGTACGTTGAAGTTGCATGTACTCTGCCCCAGTTACTTGACCGAAGTTCTACAAGCTTCAAGAGCCTCTATTTTACATCTCTGCTGTAATTTGCATCTAGGACAACATTTTCAATTCTTTGAATAATTTCTTCCATATCAGTCTTTAATTTTTCTTTCCAAGCATCTTCCAAAACTGATCCTGTCAACTTTAATAATTTTACTGCACAAATTAAGTTGTCATCCATTGGATTAGAGAAGAGGGCATTCAGCAATTCACGCAGACCAATTTGAAGAATATCTGCTCTCGTAACCTGCCCATTTGTTCCCTTGATCTCCAGGTTAAGATAAAGTTCTCCCAGAAAGAGTACAAATGCATGAAATCGCTTTCGAGTCACTTCATCTCCTTTCTCAGCTTGATCTTTAACTTCATATTCAGTCCGACATCTTTGAAGAAGCAATTGGCAGAAGTTGCCACTCTGTGGACTAATTGTCAGATGATGGGACAGGTAATTACACAGGCGAGCTCCCATGTAAGAGAAATTTGGGATAGATGTGGCCTGTTGGTAGATGAGTTCCACAAGTTCTTGCAAAGCATCATCAGTTGTAACCCAGCTAATCAGGGTCTCTGCAAATTGTTCAATTTCAGTTTCAAAACTGCCAGGTTGCTCTGTAAGATGATTCAAAAACTCTTGAACATAGTCTGATAGAGTGGGATAATCCTCACAACTATCTTCATAGGATTCTGTATAAGCAGAATAACCTGATGGGTAAAATTCGGGGGCATTGGCAGACAGCTTAGACATTAACACAGGAGCCACAACTTCCTGGGGCTTAGCCATTGCTGACTCTGAGTTCTGCTATGGGGTTTTATCCTGTGAGCTAGGTGGAGCTCTCAGGGGCCTCGTTTGTTCCGAGGCGGGCCTGAGCTCCTCGGTGGTTCTCCCGAGAGACCTGCAGAGAATTTATTTCTTTGCTGATTATTTCTTTCTGTCCCCTTTTCAGCAAATACTAGAAGCTGCTATGGCATTGCAGTAAACACAAATTCTGTGCTTTTTGGAACTTTGTTACTTATCATCAAACATCAGGGAAATATTGGTTGCTCAGAAGTCACATTACTTTTTTAATTTAGTATTTCTTGAGTCCAGCTAGGACCAGAGCCCACTATTCCTGGTGTCTATCCATATAGACTGTCAGAAAAACTGAGACTCCATCTTCTCACAATGTAAATTATCTGAACGATCACTTGTCATGTGTAGATTTAGGTAAAAACTCAACTTCCTACCAGAAAATCTTGATGTTGATCCACTCCACAAAAAAAAAAAAAATGCGTGAACAGAGTGTGGCCCACAGTATTGGAGGTCAACACTGAGGGCCCCTGGATGTTAGTTAGATCTGCACTTCATCATGCAGTCATTCATGTCCTCCTTGGTAAAACAAGAGTGTTAGGAATCTAGTCACTAGTCTGTTTCCAAGTCCATTCCTTCAGTAAGATCACAAGGTGTGGTGGGTCAGTTTATGACTTTCTAGGAAGTTCTTGATTGAGATCCTTAACAAAGTTTTTAGTGACAGAGTAGTAAATGAAAACTGAGGAACTATACTTTCCAATCTCCTTTCTTGGGCAGCAGAAGTATTTCCTAGGATGGTCTCTGCTGGACCTCAAGAAGAACAAGGATTCTACTCTGTGACATCACAATATCCAGTCTGAGCCCTGATCTCAACATCTTAGACGGAAAAGGGGTTGATAGAGCAGAAGTGGAAAGCTACCTGAAGAACGTGGAAAGAATCAGTCATCCATGCTTCCAGTTCAGGTATGTGACATTTTCTAAGCTCACACAGAACACGCTGGGGTCTAAAAGAAAAAGAGAGGACCACAAACTGAGTGTGTCTCTACTAGGCCTAGGAAAAATAGTACAGGCACAGAGGTTGTGCCACAGATATCTTTTTGTAATGTTTGTTCCCATGAAGTGAACAGAAGCCAAAGGCAGTTCCAGCAGAGGAAGGCTAGGGTACATTTTCCCGGTAGATATTCAGGCTTGTCAGGAAACTGGACCATGAGGACATTTCCTAAGCTCTTACTACCTCCCTGCCCTCTCTCTAAGTATGGAAAATATAAGAATGACATGGGTATTTTCAGAGGTCAGTACAAAATTACTTTCTTAAGGTACTCCTTATTCATTGTCTGGTAATAACTATTTGCCTGTGTAGATGTTTTTCTTTGAATAGCTTCTCTCCAGAATGACAGGAAAGAGTAAACTAAGAAAAAGTTAAGTGAAAGAAGCATTTTAACAGAAGATAGTTCAAAAAGTACAAACAGAATAATGAGAAAAAATGTATTATCCATTTAGCAATCAGACTAACTCCAAAGACTAGTTTTGAAATTTCAAGCCTTCACAGGCAAAAGGCCTCCTCCTATAAACAGTGAAAGGCCTCATGGTTGAGAAGTCAAACAGTTCAGCTGGAACCATCTACCAGTTCCTCCCCTTCAAAGGGACTTGTGCCAATGAAATCATTGCTGGGGATGCAGACAGTTCTGTTTTCTTTTCCTTGCCTTGGGGTTTTGGCTTCTAAAGTATTTGTTTCTTTCTTGAGTCTTAAGACCCAGAGTCCAAGTGACAGCAAATAGCTATTCCGTTTACTAACAGGGCGGAGCTCAGTATTGGTGCCAGGACCTGACTCATCTCCATTTGGACACCCTGGAGTCTTAGCACATGGTGACCCCAGAGACAGAGCATGGGACAGGTCAGGCAGACTCACTGAGCAATGTCTGCAAATGAGAATTTGCTGTGCTTCTCCTTAAGTGGAAGCAGCAGTCCAGTGTCCTGACAGGGAGATCAGTCACCCACAGGGCACCTAGCAGCAATAGACAAGGGAAGAAGGACACCAAATATTCATGGAGTACAATTGTAACGCTCTTCGGCCTTCAACACATCATGAATAAATATATCCCAGCAGGAAGGTCAGTATTCTCACACTCTATAAAAGCAGCAATAACGCAAGCATGTAAGTCATGGAGAAACCCAGATAAAAACAAAATGTGCTGCTTGCACATTAACTTTATAGCACATGTTCAACTTCCATCTGGAGAAGTTACTATGGTTTGCACATTTAAATTATGGTCCAATCTCTTAAGACCTTGAAAATTAAAATTTCATTGGCTCCGTTTTTAGACCTCATTCATTTTATAGTCAATGAAAACTAAGTTTAGGCTTAACCTAAAATAATATACACAAAACACAATGTCCTAACTCATCTACATTTATTGACTATAATGTTTCCTGACAGTTGTGATACTCATAAACCACAGAATTTTTGAGTTGCAAGGAGCTAAAAAATTATTCACTTCAATACCTCCATTTCCAGAAGAAGAAATCAGTACAGAGATGTTAACTGTCTTGGTTAAACATGTCTAGCTAATTAGTTCTGGGAACCAAACCTTTCTTTAGTATTCTTGTTTTTAGCCTGGTGGTTTTTGTAATACACTTTACCATACATTCATGTTCAGTGAATTTATTGGTTTATATTTAAACTAACTCTTTTAATTTCCAGTTAGAATATTTCAAAATGAGGATATGTCATTTCCTCAGCCTTCTGTGTTTAGTAATAAATGCAGATACTCTGTGTAGGTGGCACTGGTCACCACAGCCTCCCAGCCTCTGAAGTTCAGATAAAATAAGCTTTCTCTAATATCAAGACAAGGCACTCACAGTACATCAAACAGGCTAAGAAAATAATAAAAGCAAATCTAGGAAAATTGACAAGCCACTGTGCCTTGAAGCCTGATTAGTAGTAGTCCCTTAAACAAACAAACAAAAAAAAAGACTTATACAATGTACAAAGTTTTTGCTTTGTAGTAAATATACAGTCTTCCTATATGTCTTTCGCAGTTCAAGTAGACATTAATTGTGGATATGTGTGTATATACCTGTTCACATACACAGCATGAGTAAATGCTATCTGGCAGATGAGAGGCTGTTACACACTTCAGCAGTAACAAACTTACTCCTCTTAACCTACACTTGGATACTGATACTAGTCCTCTCTGACTTTTCTCATAAATGCATATTTTCTTTGGAATCACGTTTCCTAGACTATATATGTCTTTTTTATATTAAAGAGAAAAATAAACGTAACAATGAAACTGAGTTTCAAAACAGGTTTGTAGGATAGTTACAATATTGATACATTGTTATAATTGCTGTCTTCATAATAGTCATTTGTAGTGTAAGGTATAAGCAAGATATCTTATCCAAACAATTTTAGTGCATAACTTTCTTTTGGAGGAACTAAGAGACGCTATCTGTATATCTATTTTAACTATTTTGTGTATACAATTTTTTTCTTTCTCCTTTTTTCCTTTACCCCTTCTTCCATTGCAGTTTGTCTTTTATCTTTTTTAACATTTCTTCCCAATGCACAATATCTGTTGTACATTTTGGATCCTATTTACTTGTTTAGTGTCTCACACTAGTGAGACAATATAATGTCTACACATGTGAGTCTGATTTATTTCACTTTTGAGTATGGTCATGAGTTACATCCATTTACCTACAATAATCTCCAGTCTATCTTTCCTTATGGCTGAGTAGTACTCCATTATATTAAAAAAACATTTTTTATCCATTCATTTGTTGATCTGTTTTTCCATGATTTAGCTATTAAAAATTGTGCTGCTATGAACATGGGAGCATATATCACTGTGGTATATTTTTAATTCTTCTGGGAAAATATCCGGAAGGGGAATAGCTGGATCAGATGGGTCCTCTAATTCTAACTTTTAAAGGAATCTCCATATTGATTTCTACAACAGTTGCATCAGTCTACATTCCTACCAACAGCAGAGATGTGTTCCTTTTTCCCCACAGCCCCTCTATTATCTGTTGATGTTTTGATGATAATGGGGTGAGAAGTAATCTCAGTGTTGTTTAATTTTCATCTCTTGAATAATCATTGATATTGAACATTTTTTCATGTATTGTATTTTGCCATTTGTATTTCTTAGTCTGAGAAGTGCATATTCAGATGCTCATTTTTGCACTGGGTCTTTTAATTTGGGGATCTGACTTTTTTCAATTCTTTATATATTCTAGATATAAAACCTTTGTTTGTAGAAAAACTAGGTATAATGTTATCCCACTCTGTGAATTGTCTTCTCACTCTGTTGGTGACTTTTGATGTGCAAAGCTTTTTAATATGGTGAGACCCCATTTGATAATTCTTTGCTCTATTTCCCCTACAGTCTGGGATTTGTTCACAAAATCTTTACCTACACCTGTCTTTGAGATTTCTGCCTTATTTTCTCTTCTAGTAAATTTAGTGTTTCTATTTTAGTACTTAGATCTCTGATCTATTTTGTCTTTAGTGCATGGTGATAGACATGGGTCTAGTTATAGCCTTCAGCACGTGGAGAGTCAGTTTTTCCAGTACCAATTACTAAAAAGACTTTGTCCCAGTGAACGTTTTTGGCTCTTTTGTCAAAGATAAAGTGGCTGAGTGTGTTTGGAGAAGCTTCTGCATCTTTCAATGTGTTCTACTGATCCTCAGGCCTGTTTTTCTTGCCAATACCATGCTGATTTTATCAGTAGCTTTATAGCATAATTTTAGGTCTGGGGTTGTGATGCCTCCTCACTTGCCTTTGTTGCCCAGAATTGCTTTTGCTATTCCAGGTCTTTTCTGGTTTCAAATAAATTTTAGCAATGATTTCTGTAGACCTGGGAGGTATGTTAGTGGTATTTTGATTGGAATCGCATTAAATATGTATAACAATTTTGAGAGTATGGCCATTTTCAATATGTTGGTTCTTCCTATCTGTCAGGGCTTGGAATTTTCTTTGTTGGTAAATTTTTAATTATATTTTCAATTTCATGGCTGATATTAGTTTAGTCGAATTAGTATATCTTCTTGATTTATTTTTGGCAATTCAATTGTGTCTAGAAATCTGTGCATATCTTGTGTTTTCCATCTTATTAGAATATAGGTTCTCATAATAAGTATTGATCATATTCTGGATTTCTGTGGGATTCATTGTGATTTCCCTCCCTTATTCCTAATTGCTTGAATTTGTGGTTTTTTCTTGCCTATTTTTGATGAGAGTATCTAATTTATTAATTTTATTTATTCTTTCAAAAAACCAATTTTTCAGTTCATTGATTCTTTGTATTGTTTTTTAGTCTCTATTGCATTAATTTCTGCTCTTATCTTTATAATTTCGTCCCTCCTGTGAACCTAGGGTTTGATTTATTCTTCTTTCTAGAAGTTTGAGATTCAACATTAGGTTGTTTATTTGAGCTCATTCTGTTTTCCTGATGCGTGAGTTCACTGCTATAAATTTCCCTCTTAAGATTGTTTTATTGTATTCCATAAGTTTTGATATGTTGTATTGGCATTTAATTTATAACTGTATATGCTGTTTAGTTTCATGTTTAATTTCTTCTATTATTCATTGGTTGTTCAGAAGGATGCTTAATTTCTACGTTTTAATTTAGTTTTTGTGATTTCCTTTGTGGTTGATTTCCAGTTTCATTGTGCTATGGTCAGATAGTATGCATGGGATGATTTCAATTCCTTTATATTTACTTAAACATGTTTTGTCAGCTAATATGTGATCTATTTTGGAGAATGTCTCATGTGCAACTGAGAAGCATGTGTATTTTTATGCTTTGGAGTGGAACCTTCTGTAGACATTTTTACCAAGTCCATTTGTTCACAGGCTTGGTTTAATTCTAATATATCTTTGTTACTTTTTTTGTCTAGTTAATGTATACCTTTGTGAGGGGGTATTAAAGTTCCCACTACAATTGTGTTAGGTATT